TACAATCTAAACACGGGAATGTTACAAACTACACGCGGGAATGTTACAATCTAAACACGGGAATGTTACAATCTACACGCGGGAATGTTACAATATACACGCGGGAATGTAATTACAATCTTAACACAGGAAGGTTACAATCTAAACACGGGAATGTTACAATCTAAACACAGGAATGTTACAATCTAAACACGGGAATGTTACATCTAAACACAGGAATGTTACAATCTAAACACGGGAATGTTACATCTAAACACAGGAATGTTACAATCTAAACACGGGAATGTTACATCTAAACACAGGAATGTTACAATCTAAACACGGGAATGTTACATCTAAACACAGGAATGTTACAATCTAAACACGGGAATGTTACATCTAAACACAGGAATGTTACAATCTAAACACGGGAATGTTACATCTAAACACAGGAATGTTACAATCTAAACACGGGAATGTTACATCTAAACACAGGAATGTTACAATCTAAACACGGGAATGTTACATCTAAACACAGGAATGTTACAATCTAAACACGGGAATGTTACATCTAAACACAGGAATGTTACAATCTAAACACGGGAATGTTACATCTAAACACAGGAATGTTACAATCTAAACACGGGAATGTTACAATCTAAACACGGGAATGTTACAATCTATACGCGGGAATGTAATTACAATCTACACGCGGGAATGTTACAATCTAAACACGGGAATATTACAGTCTAAACACGGAATGATACAATCTACACGCGGATATGTAATTACAATCTACACGCGGGAAAGGTCCATTCTACACAAGCACATGCAACATAACAGGAAAGTAATATTTCTCGTAGGGAATGTATCATCCGTATACATAAAAGTACAATGCTATGGATTATCGCTGGTCTAATCATAGAATCGTTTGTGGTCTCGTCATAAAGATATTTGGGGTACTAGGTTAGGGGTCTGGTATCACCCGACACCCCACACCTATTATTACGGGGCTTTATCCTCGTAAAGTCGGGATATAGCTCAGGTGTATGAAGCCGAGTATAAATCCCTACCATCTCGTGTTTCAAGCGTGTGCTCTCCTCTCTATTACAATGGAACAATATCCGCCGCTAATACACTGGGTAGGTTATTGTAATGTAAAGAATGTCTGTATCTTCAGGTGTAACCCATGTATTAATTAATCTTGTTACCAGCTTATGGAATTAGAATTAAAAGATTGATTTTTAAATTGTAGAATATGAAAAGTCTTTTATGGAGTTTATGGTCGGTATAATCCGACACCGCTCTCCCCCTTATATATACTAACGTAAATCTCTCTAGCACAGAAACGTTAATCTGGCAATTTTGACGGATGAACTAAAATGCTATCTTTGTTTACTGTCTATATAATATCCTTTGTTTGGCATAATCGCCGTCTATATTCAGTACAGGTGAGTATGCGTGTCCCCGGGACAGACAGATGGCACCCTCGTGGTGTAGACCCTCCTCCCGGGGCGATTACTCCTTATCATTATCATAATAAAGTACCTGTTAATGACATCATATTCATAAAACACGTCGGCTCTGATTAGACTCAGGTGTATAAATGTAACATTTCAATATAGGACTCACTAACAACATGCTGAGTATCCTCTGATCCCGTCAACTGACGGTCACAGCGATGACGGTATACACGAGTTATATAGAAGAACTAAATGTGGTTTAACGTCTATTGTTCGACCTTCGCCATGGTTTAACGTCTTTTGTATGAGTTTCGCCATGGTTTAACGTGTATTGTATGTGCTTCGCCACGGTTTAACGCGTATTGTACGAGCTTCGCCATTGTTAAACGTCTATTTTATGAGCTTCGCCATGGTTAAACGTCTATTTTATGAGCTTCGCCATGGTTTAACGTGTATTGTAAGAGCTGTGCCAAGGTTTACGTGTGTGGTATGAGATTCGCCATGGTTTAACGTGTTTTGTAGGTTTACGTGTATGGTATGAGATTCGCCATGGTTTAATGTGTTTTGTAGGTTTAGGTGTATGGTATGAGCTTCGCCATGGTTTAATGTGTTTTGTAGGTTTGCGTGTATGGTATGAGCTTCGCCATGGTTTAATGTGTTTTGTAGGTTTACGTGTATGGTATGAGATTCGCCATGGTTTAACGTGTTTTGAAGGTTTACGTGCATGGTATGAGATTCGCCATGGTTTAATGTGTACGTCTTACGTCTGTTCTCCACAACCTAACGACCACTACTGTTACATCCGACATTCATTTTTACGTTCCAATTCCATATATATAACGTCCTTATTTCATATCTTACATCCATATACACATTTGACGTCCACACTTTAACATTTGTCATTCCGCATTCACATCCGACTTTTGCCGCCATTTTTTAGTCCATTTTCATATTCATTGTTTACTTCAACATTTAGTTAAATTCCACATCGGACTTCAAGTTCTACACGACGTCCTGCTCGCCTTGCGTCTGCTTCCACACTTAAGCTCCACTTCCGCATCTCATATGTACGCCCGCTCTATCACAACAGGGACCTGCGAATTTGTTACAACTACATGTATATTTGTACCTAAGCTAAGGTGTTTGGAAGAAAAAATGCTACCCCTCGTTTATTATCATCATTGGGGTGTAATTTTTACTGAAAATTGATCTAAACCCCTCAAACGTGTAAAATTACTCTAAACACCCTAGCTTAGGTCCAAATATAGCTGTAACAAATTCTCAGGTCCCTGTGTCCAACTACTGGCATCTGCTTCCATACCTTCTGTCCACTTATGCGTCGTATGTCCACTTGCATATATAGCTACTGTTTCTTCCGTAAAATTCAATCCATACATTTAAGCCAACTGGTATATTAGGAAACTATAGAGCACTGAATAATACTAAACCAATGGTCTTGGGTTCGACTCGAAGCGGAATTCATTTCAAAATTAAGCCAATACTATCGCTAGAGATCATGGTTTAGTACATGTAACATTACCAGATAATCTCGTGGAAGCATCTATGACCCACTAAACCCATTCATTGACCATATAAGCTGGTCACTGTGTGGAATTCCTGTGGATTGTCTGTAGCCCGGGGGTCGGGCTATCCTAATATCCCTTGTTTGTTAACTATGTCAATAGCTTGTAATTCATCTACTTATGAATGTGAGGACCAATTATAGACGGATATCTACCGACGACCACGGGCAGGTCACAACACAAAGTATTAGTCTGTCCTGCTTACCATTCTTACTTTATGTCACAAGATTCCTTACCTGCCATTATCATACCTATATGTCCAGGTGTGCCAAGAAGATACAAAAGTAATTATATACACATGTACAGGTGTCAGGGCATAACTTGCAACCACATAAGGAGCAGGAGACTATCAGCTTATAAAATGTGGATATTTTGTACATATGAAGTGACCGTATGAATGTCCCCGATCACCTTCTAGCAAACGAGTAAAACACATGGTCGAGCTTCCAACTATTACTGTAAATCTGATAATGCCTATCTATAGAATTTACGTCTTCTTCAGTGGCCAAAAGTTTTCCTATTTTTGCATTGCCTCTCCAGTTCCCTAACCAAGCTGTTTGCTCAGCACATAGACCTTAGTTCTGACAATTCCTATGCGACAAAATATTGGCGTACTTGTTAGTTGTTTAAAGTACTCTGGCCGTTACGACTCAATTTGTGTTTATTGTATCGCCATTTACGGATTAGCACCAGCAGTTCTATTTATACGACTTACTGACCTAGTCACAGAAATTAATTCAATAAAGAAACTTCCAAATAGGACAATATGGGATGATGTCATGTATATCGATTGCTGCAGGTGTAGCCTGGACTGGTGAGAAGGTAGCTCAATTGGTTTGAGCGTCTGTCTAAAGTTCCGAGGTTCCTATGTTCGAATCCTGGTCTTGGACGTTCTGTTACAGCTGTGCCTGATACATACCCTTTTCCAAGTAATGTGTAAGGGGATACCGAAACCTGGGTTGTAGTAAGCGTTGTCTTTGAGTGCGAATAGAGGGACTAGGCCTGGCGACCGGCGGTGACCAAATTGTTCAATTGGTCAATGTGCCCGTCTGGATTTGGAGGTCCTGGGTTCAAATCCTGGTCTGGTCACCGTTGTATTTCCCTTCCCCTGTTACAAAAGTAAAGGAAATATCTGAGACGTTGTCAATACTCGTCTTGTTCGTTGTTGACATACCCTAGTTCTTTCTTATTTCGGTTGTGTGACCACACCCTCGTTCTTTGTAGCACTAATACTCGTCCCAGAGTGCTGTGGTCGTGTACATAAAGAAAAGTGGGAATGGGAAGTGTCAGTGGATACGGGGAGGTGTCCGGCACCAAGGGACTCGCGCCTATCACTTCCGGTGTCACCTCAGGGACCAGTCGGGGTCTGTGTAGATTAGTCACGGTGTGTGTGAGGATCAACACCAAGGGACTCGCGCCTATCACTTCCGGTGTCACCTCAGGGACCAGTCGGGGTCTGTGGTAGATTAGTCACGGTGTGTGTGAGGAGCAACACCCAGGACATATCATTAGACAGTAATAAACGTTGATCGAACCTATTCAACTTCCTGTTAGCTTTAATTTGCAAGCGGAGCGGTTTTATGACAACAGTATAACTGGAATATTTGCTCATTTTAAATAAGAAGTTGAATGAGACGCCATTTAAAAAAAATCATAGCCTGAATTTTACATCGCTAATGTTAATGCTGATATAGGTATTTTAAGGTGGGAGTAGACCGGTATTGTTGTATGGTATCAACACGTCTGTAAACTCTCGTGTGAACGAATTGCCACCTGTGACAGTAAGTCAATATTATTGTAACCCTTGAACTATTTATCTGGTTTTGACAAAAAATCATTGTACGAAAATATACACGCTCGAATTCGCCTCCTCATTACCCAATATCTCACCGTCGGATCTCTGAACAAAACCTTACCCCTATCAGTTGTCCGTATCTCCGGCCACTTCTGACCAGTCGCATTTGTCTCCTTATAGGTGACCCTGTGTTCGTAGTGATACCTGTCCGGCCGGACTGGACATCGAGTGCTCGCCGTGTTTGGATACTGACCATCAGTGTTTGGATAAATTATTTCGACCGATAGCTGAGATGACCAGCTCCAGATCACATATCACTTTATAATGTGGGAAGGGCCAAGGCATTTTATGTGAAAGTTCTCGTGCACGTGGAGAAAATGAGCGGCAGTCACCACAGCACTGCTAATTATGTATTTATAATTCTGTCTGTGATTATCAGTAAGGTAAGTGCTCAAATTTCACTAAACATTATTCTTTTAATTGAAAATAAATCAAATTTAATATGGAAACAATCAGCAAAAGTTGTAATACATGAGCTAGAAACTCAAACGTATATCACTTGAACTTGCCACTGGGAACTGTTCGATCCTCAATCAATATTTGCGATAAATAGTTAATTATTGATAAACAATTATTTCAAGATAAAGTTTTTGTGAACTGCTGAGGTAACTTTGTAGAATAAGGTGATGAGTTTGTTCTCATCCTCACAAAGCATTATATATGCCAATATCTACATGTAAAAAAACATTGCACGACATTAAAAATGTTTGATAGAATTGCAGGTAATTTCGCGCCATTTTTGACGGTCGGTGCATGCGTGTACCGTCTGCTGGTGGATGCTGACGAGATGATTTCTGTTTCAGACAGCCGGTGACCACCATGCCGGAGGTTTCGCGGGGGAGCAGGGGTCCAGATACATCTGGTCATTCGGTCAGTGGACGGGCTGTTCTGTAGAGTGTGGACACGGTAAGTAGAGACGTAGACCCGATATATATACAGTCCAAAGGAGAAATAATCGGAGGTATCTCCGACATTTCTAGACGTACCTCATTAACGTTCGGAATATGTCGAGGAGAACGTGCGAGTCTTCATGCACAGACATATTTCGGTGACCTGATTTCAAAGTTTTCAACAGCATCATACCATGGCCAGTTTGTGAAACTGTTGGGAGAGTCCCGCTTCCAGGGGCGTTTCAAGGATATTTGAAAGAGGGGGCGTAGAATCAAATCTTTTGGACCTTTTTTTTTTGCTAAAAAACATATAATAATTGTGAAATGCACTGATGTAACGGTTCCTGACTTAGAGCATGTATATTTTATAGTTAAAGTGTCAGGGTGTCAGTATAAAAAGCGATCAGAGTATGTATTTAATTAACGAATATGATAAAAATTGACATATTCAATACAATATTAGCAGATTACGATATTTTATTTCATTTTTTATTTTTTGAAAAGAGGGGGGGGGGGGGGGGGGGGGCGGCGGCGTACGCCGATTACGCCCTCACCTGGACCCGCTCCTGGCTTCCCCTTCCCTACATTGTCAACAGCCCGATTAATTATACAAGAAAAATTCTCTCTGGGCAAAGTGCCAATATTTGTGGTCCGATTTTCAAGAATCTTTGCTTTATTGATGTTTATAATTTTGGACCTAAGGTCAAGGTCACTATTACTAGAGGTGGACATTTTGGTCACTGTTAGCACCTTTGTTTTCACGTTTTTGTAGAATTGTACAACTTTGATTTTACATGATAGCAACGGCATATATGTCTTACAAAAATTCTAGGTATTTCTACTGTTAAAAAAGTCTGAATAAGCATGCTGTGTTAATTATGGTTTTTTGCCATGTAATTGATCAGTGAGAATACATGCATCTGTAAAGATTTTGACGCTCAGGAAACATTACATCAGCGTTACCAATGCTAAAATCTCCACTCTACAACTATATGTAGTTCCAAGTTTCAAAATATTGGTAAGAAAAATTCCACATATGATGATTTTGACTTTAACAGTTTAGGTAAAAAGGCTAGGCCTGGTTGATCATCTGAGTGAGCTTTGAAATATTTGACAACATTTGTGTGTAACTTGTGTACAACCTCTAATAAACAGTGTCATAGTTATTATATAGGTATGGTTAATGTCAGGGCCCTCTTACTAAGTTATTATTTATCCCCATCTTATTACCTTCACGATGTCATCACTTCTTAAAAAATTACTTAGTGTATAACTACCTTTTAGAAAATGCACACCATTCAGTAAAAAAAAGCACTGAAACATTAGGAGACTTTTTATAGTTTGATGCAGTGCTGATACAATCTGTTTTGGACATAATATATCTTCTCTATTGAAAAATTGTTGCAGGTATCCAATTGCGTCAGGTGTCATGTGTGGACCGTAAAACTGGACAGATGGTAGAACAATCTTACTGTGAGCAGAATCTCAAGCCTTCACAACGACAGAGGTGTAATAATGGGCCTTGTACAGATCAACACATTGAGGACTCTGTGTAAGTCACACACTCATAGAGGGCACTTAATGGCTGACCCGATTATAGGGGGCACTTAATGACTGACCCGATCAAAGAGGGCACTATATATGTAAGTCACATAACAACGCATAGAAGGAGCTGTGTATGTCACTGATCAGCGAATAGAGGGCTCTGTATGTGTAGGTCACATAACCAGAATAAACAACACATTGAGGACTCTGTGTAAGTCACACACTCATATATAGAGAGCACTTAATGACTGACCCACTCTTAGAGGGCACTAAATGGCTGACCCACTCTTAGGGGGCACTAAATGACTGCCCCTCTCCAAGGGGCACTTAATGACTGCCCAATTCCTAGAGGGCACTTAATGGCTGACCCACTCTTAGGGGGCACTAAATGACTGACCAACTCCTAGAGGGAACTTAGTGACTGACCCGATCATAGGGGGCACTTATTGACTGACCCGATCATAGGGGGCACTTAGTGACTGACCCGATCATAGGGGGCACTTATTGACTGACCCACTCATAGGGGGCACTATATATGTAAGTCACATAACAACGCATAGAGGGAGCTGTGTAAGTCACTTATTCATCAGGGCACTTATTGACTGACCCGATCATAGGGGGCACTTAGTGACTGACCCGATCATAGGGGGCACTTATTGACTGACCCACTCATAGGGGGCACTATATATGTAAAACACATAACAACGCATAGAAGGAGCTGTGTATGTCACTGATCAGCAAATAGAGGGCTCTGTATGTGTAGGTCACATAACCAGAATAAACAACACATTGAGGACTCTGTGTAAGTCACACACTCATATATAGAGAGCACTTAATGACTGACCCACTCTTAGAGGGCACTAAATGACTGACCCACTCCTAGAGGGCACTTAATGACTGCCCCACTCCTAGAGGGTACATAATGACTAACCCATTCCTAGAGGGCACTTAATGACTGACCAACTCCTAGAGGCACTCAATGTCTGCCCCACTCCAAGAGGGCACTTAATGACTGCCCCATTCCTAGAGGGCACTAAATGACTGCCCCATTCCTAGAGGGCACTAAATGACTGACCCACTCCTAGAGGGCACATAATGACTGACCCATTCCTAGAGGGCACTTAATGACTGACCAACTCCTAGAGGGAACTTAATGACTGACCCACTCCTAGAGGGCACATAATGACTGACCCACTCCTGGAGGGCACTTAATGACTGACCAACTCCTAGAGGCACTTAATGACTGCCCCATTCCTAGAGGCACTTAATGACTGCCCCACTCCTAGAGGGCACTTAGTGACTCCCCCTTCTCATAGAGGGCACTCAATGACTGCCCCACTCATAGAGGGCACTTAATGGCTGCCCCACTCATAGAGGGCACTTAATGACTGACCCACTCCTGGAGGGCACTTAATGACTGCCCCACTCCTAGAGGGCACTTAATGGCTGCCCCACTGATCATAAAGGGGACTTAATGACTGCCCCACTCCTAGAGGGCACTTCATGGCTGCCCCACTCCTAGAGGGCACTTAATGGCTGCCCCACTCCTAGAGGGCACTTAATGGCTGCCCCACTCATAGAGGGCACTTAATGACTGCCCCAGTGTGGAGGGCACTTAATGACTGACCCACTCCTGGAGGGCACTTAATGACTGACCCACTCCTAGAGGGCACTTAATGACTGCCCCACTTATAGAGGGCACTTAATGGCTGACCCACTCATAGAGGGCACTTAATGGCTGACCCACTCATAGAGGGCACTGTGTAAGTCACTGACTCACACATATTGACAGCTCCCTGTAAGTTACTAACTCAAAGAGGGCACTTAAATGACTGACCCACTCATAAAGCGCTCTATGTAAGTCACTGATCAGCAAAATAGGACTCTGTATATGCAAGTCACATAACAAGAATAAACCTAATTAAACATAGAGGGAGCACTGTGATTCACTGACTCGCACATATAGAGGGCGCGGTGTAAATCACTTGTCAGCACATACAGTCACACAATTCACCACACATAGAGGGAGCACTGTGATTCACCGACCCATGCACATAGAGGGTGCTGTGTAAGTCACATCACCACACATAGAGGGCTCTGTATATGTGACAGTTACACACTGACGAGCAGAGGGCATTGTTGATGTGTCACACTCATATAGGGTGCTGTATTAGTGTAAGTCACCAGCTCATAGAAAGCATTGTTAAAAGTCACTAACTCATAGAGGTTACTTTAATAAGTTGCTAATAGAGGGTGCATGCTGTATAAGTCACAAACCTACTCATGGAGGGGGCTGTGTAAATCACAGTCCCACACATAGTGGGCATTGTAGAAGATATCCTGTGGTACTATGTGGTTTCTTTTTAATCATGATATCCTTACTGAGCTATTTAATTGAAACACTTAAGGGGCCGCGGTGGCCAAGTGGTTAAGGTGTCTGACATTCTGCTATCACTAGCCCTCCACCTCTGGGTCGCAAGTTTGAGACCTACATGGGCAGGTACTGACCGTCGGTTGGTGGTTTTTCTCTGGTAACTCCGGCTTCCTCCACCACCAAAACCTGGCACGTCCTTAAATGACATGGCTGTTAGAAGGATGTAAAACACAAACAAAGAATTGAAACACTTGTATATTGTAAAAATTTAGTTTTACATATCTAATAATTCAATGTTGTTGAACATATGTCTATATATATACACCAGGTATATATGTGCAAGACAGTGTGCTGACATACATATATATAAATGATGTATATATTTATCACATGATCATTGTGCTATTCAGTGAATACACTCATGCTAAATTTAATGTATGAACTCCTCCTATAGTATGAGTTATTGTGACTCGTCAAGTGATAATGAATGATATTGTACAGCTCGTATCCGGATGTAAGTTAGGCCAAAAAATATCACTGACTGGATACAAGATGACTGAATTGTAGACGTGAAGAGTGAACTTGAAAAGAATGTTTTATTCACAAATATTCTTAAACATTTGATAAAAAGGTTTGAGATTTTGTTTTCATTTCCCTGTGATTTATGAAACTTATCACAAATTTTCCATTTTTAGCTTGCCAGATGCATGCTAAAAGTAAAATGAAAAAAGAGACTCTTATTCTTAGATTTGTTTTATTAATCTTATATGAAATGGGAACTCTTGTAAGATCCTATATATTTGATGAGGTACGTATGTTGATGTAAATTTATCAATGATGGACATTTGTTGAGGTAAGATCTAATATAAGAAAATGATGTTGACTTAGAAAAAGTCGAAGTTGATATTAATTTTCAGGTTTGTATAACCACGCTTGTAATTAAAAAAAAAAGTTTATTTTTTTTAAACTTTTCATTAAGCACAATGGCACATATAAAAGTTGTCAGATAAAAAGTTCTGCAGAAAGCGTTGTGACATAACAATTGAAATGATGACATAAAAGAGAACAGTGACGTTTCTAAAAATAGTAACACCAAGTCAGTTTCACAAATCACTGACCTCCGTGTCATTTTTAAACCATGTTCCAAAAACTTGTGTCATCTAATATATATGTGAATATGTACTTGCAGGCAGTGGGCCCTGGGAGACTGGGGGACATGTTCCACCACTTGTGACATAGGAGATCAGGTACAGCAGGTCACTTGTGTTGCTGTTGGAGAAGGTGGCAGGTCAAGGCCAGTCAGTGATGACCTTTGTATTAAGGCATATGGCCGGAAGCCAGAGTACATTCGTTCATGTAATGAGGAAGTTGCTTGTCCACAGTGGACATCTACAGGCTGGTCTAAGGTATGTGACCTCTTAACTGGAAACAGGAGTTACCTTCACACTCCTCAAATAAGAAGTTATACATTTACACTTGTTATCAGCAGCAGTTACCTGTGTACACCTGTACTCCATGGTTATCTGTGAACACCTGTAATCAGTGGTGACCTGTGTACACCTGTACTCCATGGTTATCTGTGAACACCTGTAATCAGTAGTTACCTGTATACACCTGTAATCCATTATTATTATTATTTCTTTATTTCCTCCAAATTGAAGAGTTACAAAAATATACAGTGTAGTCAAAATACAAATCAAATATTATTAATTGATTCTTACATGTTACCTGTATACACCTGTAATCCATGGTTATCCGTGAACACCTGTAATCAGTGGTTACCTGTATACACTTGTAATCAGTTGTTACCTGCATACACCTGTAATCAGTGGTTACCTGCATACACCTGTAATCAGTGGTGACCTGTGTACACCTGTAATCAGTGGTTACCTTGATACACCTGTAATCAGTGGTGACCTGTGAACACCTATAATCAGTGGTTACGTGCATACACCTGTAATCACTGGTTACATGCGTACACCTGTAATCAGTGGTTACCTTGATACACCTGTAATCAGTGGTAACCTGTGTACACCTGTAGTCAGCAGTTACTTGTCTTCAATTTTGATCAACAGTAACCCGAATACATTGCTTTAATCCTCTTTCCTTTGTAGTCTTTACTTATTAGCTCACCTGCCCGAAGGGCAAGTGAGCTTATGTCATGGTGTGGCGTCCGTCGTCCGTCTGTCCCTCTGTCCTGCGTCAACTTTTTACTTGAAACAACTTCCTTTCAGTAACCAAAAGGCCTAGGATTATGATATTTGGCCAGTAGCATGCTGGAATCAAGGGCTACCTAGTTTTGTTCATATGAATAACCTTCACCCATTTTCAAGGTCACAGGGGTCCCATATGTTAAAATCTTTAAACGACTTCTTCTGAAAAACCGACAGGCCTAGGGTGATGATATACGGCAAGTAACATGCTGGGATGAAGGGCTACCAAGTTTGTTCAAACAAATGATCTTCACTCATTTGCAAGGTCACAGGGGTCAAATATGTTTAAAACATTTAAACAACTTCTTCTAAATAACCAAGAGGCATAAGATAATGATATTTGGCCAGTAACATGCTGGGATGAAGGGCTACCAAATTTGATCAAATGAATGACCTTCACCTATTTTCAAGGTCACAGGGGTCAAATATGTTAAAACCTTTAAACATCTTCTTCTCAATAACCAAAAGGCATTGGATGATGATATTTGGCCAGTAACATGCTAGGATGAAGGGCTACCAAGTTTGTTCAAATGAATGACCTTGACCCACTTTCAAGGTCACAGGGGTAAAATGTGTTAAAAACTTCAAACGACTTCTTCTCAGTAACCAAAAAGCCCAGAATACTGATATTGGGACTGAAGTAGGCATGGATGAAGGGCTACTAAGTTTGTTCAGATGAATGACCTTGACACTTTTTCAAGGTATCATGGGTTAAATATATTTAAAATCTTTAAACAACTCCTCTTCTGAATACCCAAGAGGCATAGGATAATGATATTTTGCCAGTAACATGCTGGGATGAAGGGCTACCAAGTTTGTTCAAATGAATGACCTTGACCCACTTTCAAGGTCACAGGAGTCGAATGTGTTAAAAACTTTAAACGACTTCTTCTCAGTAACCAAAAAGCCCAGAATACTGATATTGGGACTGTAGTAGGCATGGATGAAGGGCTACCAAGTTTGTTCAGATGAATGACCTTGACACTTTTCAAGGTTGCATGGGTTAACTATATTTTAAATCTTTAAACAACTCCTCTTTTGAATAACCAAGAATCCTAGGATAATGATTTTTGGCCAGTAGCATGCTGGGATAAAGGGCTACCAAGTTTGTTCAAACAAATAACCTTTACTTATATTCAAGGTCATGGGTCAAAAATGTTTAAAACCTTTAAACAACTTCTTCTCAATAACCAAGAGGCCTAGGATGATGCTATTTGACCAGTAGCATGCTGTAATATAGGGCTACAAAGTTGTTCAAATGAATGACCTCGACTTGTTTTCAAGGTCACAGGGGTCAAAAATGTTTAAAACCTTTAAACAACTTCTCCTGAATATCCAAGAGGCATAGGCTAATGATCTTTGACCAGTAACATGCTGGGATGAAGGGCTACCAAGTTTGTTCAAACAAATGACCTTTACTTACAAATGTATATTCAAGATCACAGGGGTCAAATATGTTTAAAACCTTTAAACAACTTCTCCTGAATATCCAAGAGGCATAGGCTAATGATCTTTGGCCAGTAACATGCTGGGATGAAGGGCTACCAATTTTTTTCAAATGAATTACCTTCATCTATGTTCAAGGTCACAGGGATTAAATATGTTTAAAACCTTTCAACAACTTCCTCTCAATAACCAAAAGGCCTTGGATGATGATAGTGGCCAGTAACATGCTAGGATGAAGGGCTACCAAGTTTGTTCAAATGAATGACATTTGCTTATATTCAAGGTCACAGGGATCAGATATGTTTAAATCTTTAAATGACTTGTTTTGAATATTTAGCCAGAAGTATGCTGGGACGGAGGGCTATAAACTTTCAAGGTCACAGGCGTCATATGTTTAAATAATTTAATAGATTCAAATGGAATGAACACAGATATTTTGCCGGTAGCTGTATATTAGTCCACTTTTAAGATTACAAGTGTGAGATTAATACCAGGTGAGCGATTCAGGTCCATTGGGCCTCTTGTTTTGTATTAAAGATACCGGAGTTGTCTACCTTTGGTTACTCTGACATGCATATCTGTGAACATCTGCAGACATGTGTTTTAAGTAAATCAGATATTAGGTGTAACAAGGACTATCACTGCCTTGTCTACAAAACACTTGTTAAAATTAAAAAAAGGTTAAAGTATACATTAAAGAAAACTAATATTTGTTTGTGAATTCAAATGATTGGTGAGACATCCTGTATATTGACAGTGTACAGCTGACTGTGGAATCGGGGTTCAGACACGTCGTGTCTACTGTATAGAACTCACACCTTCCGAGTCCTCTAACTACAGAATTCTCCCTGATGGTGCCTGTTCCCTGGAGGAGATACCACCTACTCAGCAACAGTGTACTGACACCTCCTGTCAGAGCTCGGACTCGCGACCAGATGGGGTAGGTGTGCTGGGTAATAAGTTTAAAATATGTTATTCTGGATGTACTCTGCAGGTCATGACATGTATGACAAAATTGCCATACTACACAGCCATTCTTTTGCTAGGATTTATAAAACTGTCTTGCCTGTCAAGTTCTCCATGCTTGCTGCTAGCATGCAGTGTTAAGGCTGTGTTGAACTTTCGTGAATCAAAATTAAAAGCAGAAGTAAAAATCGTCCATTAACAATATGACAGATGTGTGAAGTTTAACAGTGCACATAGTAAACCTCTAGTCACTGACACAGACTCAGGGAAGTTCTCTCTAGGTTAATCAGCAATGTTTTGGACTAGTAATCTGTAGAGCTTGCCATCATCAACAGTGTGTTATTGATGATCATACTATAAGAGTGCTTATTTAAGTGGACACAAATTTTATCAAATTTTAACAGATTAGTGCAATGATGACTTGGGGAACTCACATCGTATACAATAGAAAACTATATGTTTTCAATCAGTGTAATCATACTTGGCCGGATGGTTTTAGCGAAAAAGGCTAAAATTAGTAACCCTCTAAAATATGTACGTTTATAGTATTGCCACTCTTAAAAAACAGTGTTAAACTTTCGTCGTCACTGCCTCTAGTTTTTTTTATAGCCTTGATGTATGCAAAAAAACATATTTAATTTTTTGTTTTACTGCTAATCAACTTTGAATTCAATGGTAGTATATCAACATTGTTAATGTTGTGTCATAACAAATCTCTATCCTGATAACAGATATTCCATTGCTGACTTGTTTGTTATGGGAATATCTATCCTGATTTCATGGTACCTGTGTCACAGTGGTGACACTTCGTCACTTGTTACTGATTTACTGATTCAATTTTAGCTCATTCGGTTGACCACTTAATTAATAATCTGTAGTCTCCACACCTGGTCCGCCCCTTAGTGGAGGCACCTGGAAAAAGTTATCTTGGTTAGTGGTACCTTGGCTCCCATGTTAAGCCCTGGTACCTTGGCTCCCATGTTAAGCCCTGGTACCTTGTCTCCCATGTTAAGCCCTGGTACCTGGGCTCCCATGTTAAGCCCTGGTACCTTGGCTCCCATGTTAAGCCCTGGGTACTCTTTGTGATAATCATTTAATCTTGCTCTCACATGCAATGTTGTACATCGGTAGACACAAGGAGAAGATCTTTCCATGGAGGGAAGTCTATCTCGTTGTTTGTTACGCACTTGGTTGGGGGAATTTCCTTTTGGCCTCACACTGTAACATTTGTCTGTTAATCTGACTAAATGAGTGTTTTCCCGAAAGCATATCCTGTAAAAAAGGAAATTGTTGCGATGTGGAAATGTTTTGCATTTTTTTTTGTATTGAGTAAATTTGTTTGAAAATATCCACATGCGAATATTTATTTATAGAAACTATAGAATGTAGGTAAATATAATATATAGATTTCGGACCTATTGGTAACAAGAGAGTTTCCACACCCCGATCCATTTAACGGTCACCATGGGAATATTTCCAAATGCCAACATTTCCAGTCTTATGTGTGTATTATTCAGAAATCTGGTGTTTTATCTTTCTGATCCTGTGTACTTTAAGGATGGAACAAGGAACTGTCAGAACACATTGTACGGCTGTTGTCAAGACGGCAGGACAGCATCACTTGGACCTAGATTCCAGGGCTGCCCAACAGATGGTAAGTAACCCTCATCTCCCTCAACAACACTCTTTACCTTTACCATGCAGCCCTCAGCTCCCTGTGTAGTCCACATCAAATACCTTAAAAATATCTCATTATTCTATCAGCCTCAGTGAGCGTGATCAGCCCAGACTCTCCCTGCATGATCAAATGTCATCTTCTTGAATATGATGAAATTGTGAATATACAGATCATTATATACCAAAACAAAGTTGTATTGTGGATTTGAGGTGTGAAAGAATATCAGATTGGTATTGGTTTTCACTGATTTTGAATGTTAATTATTAATTCACAGGTACAGGTAAAAACTCAATGAGAGCTGTCACATGTTTTCTGTTCTTGTATTAGTACAGGTACAAACTCAATGAGAGCTGTCACATATTTTCTGTTCCTGTATTAGTAAAGGTAAAAACTCAATGAGAGCCGTCACATGTTTTTTGTTCCTGTCTTAGTACAGGTAAAACTCAATGAGAGCTGTCTCTCGGTTTCTGTTCCTGTATTAGGACAGGTAAAAACTCAATGAGAGCTTTCACATGTTTTCTGTTCCTGTATTAGTACAGGTAAAAACTCAATGAGAGCTGTCACATGTTTTTTGTTCCTGTATTAGTACAGGTAAAACTCAATGAGAGCTGTCACACGGTTTCTGTTCCTGTATTAGTACAGGTAAAAACTCAATGAGAGCTGTCACATGTTTTCTGTTCCTGTATTAGTACAGGTAAAAACTCCATGAGAGCTGGTCACACGTTTTCTGTTCCTGTATTAGTACAGGTAAAAACTCAATGAGAGCTATGTGAGTGAATATGTCCTGACTTGATCAGTAAGAAAATATGTCAGAGTGAGTTTATCTTAACTGTCTTGTAGAGATCGTTGTGATACAAATTTTGATTTGGGAGTTATGTCCCTTCCATTTGCTGAAAATTTTACCTCAGGGTTAATGTTTATCTTTGGATTACTTCCCTTTACATAGGACTTTTAGACAGTGATGTACAGGGTCTATCACATTTTCCATCAATTTTTTGCTGCAGCTCATTTTTCTGTCCTTTGCTCCTGATAAAATTGATTTACCAGGTTATGAGTAACAAGCATGTTGATTGATAGATAGCACAACAAGGTTTTGTATACTTAAATGTTTAAATTAAGCCTTTATGAAATTGACTTGGTAGCAGAGTGTTCCCTGCAGAGAAAGCACTTGTTGAATGTATTCGTCAATTTAAATTTAGTAAGGGTATGTACTAGTCGCTGAAGCCCTGCTGGTTGCATGCAGGGAAGGATTTGTGTGGCAGTCAACATTCTTCAATGTCGGTCAGTTGTTACATTGGTGAATATTTATTTCTTTTTAACTTTTTGCTAATTTCAAGGTGAACTCTAGTCTAAAATTTTGCTGTGCTAGCTAGATATGACTAAACATATTTTTGTTCATCAGTTTTATTGGCCTACAGTGAAGGAAAACAGGTTCAAGGTATCAAGGCAACAACTTGACCTTTGATTTCTAGTTACCAGTAAAGTTAAACTGTTATTGAATGTTGCTTAAATACAGCATAAATTTAAAACTTATCAGAGCATTAATTTAGACTTAGTAGGACAAATGAACTTGGTACGATAAATAAAAAGAAAAGACAAAATATCTGATAAATTGGTTTATGGCTATCTAGGCTGTATGTATAGGAAGTGATTAGCTGGTGCCTGATTAGACTTAGGAATGTGGTCATGTGGAGATTCTGTGTACTACAGACATCTCTTGGCAGTTTAATTATCCAAACATTAATCAAACACATGTTACAGAGTTTTTGAAAATATTATTTACAAAAAGAAAGAAAGTTTTTTTGCCGTTTTTTGCAAAAATTGTTCCGTATCTATTGTTGACGAGCCTTTCTTGCACCTGGCCTAGCGTACACCTGGTAATGACTTATCTGATCTATATCTACCATGTTTTGTGTCTGCTCTATGCACAGTAATTAGCTGCACCCTATTACTAAGCATATCAACATTCCTTTGTGCCTAGAAGTTACTAAAAGTCAAATTAGGGGAAAAGGTTCTCTTTATGAAATCTTTTGAAGAGGAATTTATAAAATGTTGTCAATTGATTTTTAAATGATTAAGTAGCTCAGGTAATAGGTTCAGTGTCATGTTAAATTGTGATGTCACAAAAGGGACATATTAACATCCAATAGAATATTGAAGTATTGCTGTTGGCTTACATCTGCCATAGTGTAGTGGATCTGTTATCCAATGCTGGTGACCAAAACCTGACATGTCCTTAAATGACCCTGGCTGTTAATAGGATGTAAAACACAAACAAACCAAACTGAATCACTCTATGTGTGTAGCATTCCTACCCTTATACTCTAACCAGTACAATTTGCTTGGTGAAAGCTTTCCAGCATAAAGCTACCTTACTCTGATTACTCCAGTCTAGCTTGGTGTAACATTGAGTAGAGACAACTGCTGGGAAGACCACTTGTGATTAAAATGTTTCCAGAGTCAATATGTTTAAGTTTACATCCTCATTATGTTTTGATCTGTATAGAAGACTTTTGGGCAGTGTTTTGTTGTGGAAGTTTACCAAGCATAGAATGTTGGTAAAAGGTTGATGTACGTTTAACTCACTATGTATTTACTGTAGGGAGAAGTGGCTGAGAGTTTGATAGCATGAATGAAATTCAACAGACGTATGTCCTTGTTTGAGCTAGAAGGATTAGAACAGATAGTATGTTAATAGATTCCAGTCCAGAATTGAACTTTCTGTAATATAATCAGATGTAAGTGGGATTCACAGGAAGACTGACAAACATTCTACACCCGTGGCCATTAAGAAGCCATGAATCTTATTAGTATAGGTATCTGAATGTATAAGTCATGTTTTTTGGACACTGATAGCAGCTTAAACCCCAAACCAGAGGTTAGTCTTTTTTATATTAATGGAGGAAAATGATCCCAGTAAACACTGAAAAAGCAATGAATGGCCAATCTGTAAGCTAGTCGTTCTAACTACAGACTTACTAGATGGACACTAGCCAAAGGAGACAGAATCAGGTTAAAAATCTTCATGTGAGCTCGAGTGTATGATGCCAACTCCAAGAGAGTTCAAAATGCTTGATATTGGTAGAGAAGGAAGTAGTTAAATAAATCATTATATTTTGGTCCGGTATCCATGGCCAATGTTAACACATCGCCTCCATTGTTCTGGAATAACCACTACGGCTAGAAGGCCACACACACCACAGATAGAACAACATATTGGTCTACGATTGGTTATGTTGTGCTAATGTTATATTACAGATTCGATTTGCAGGAACAGGAGACAGATTTACATAAGCAAACCTATTAGTTTCTGAATTATTGTAACTTTGATTTTTCATGGAAAACCAAGTCCTCCTTCATATATTTTCTTTTGTGTGGTAAATTTTTGATTGAGCACAATTGAGCCAAAATCTTCCTCGCTTTATCACCATCTGTATGTCATATTAACACAGTCATCAAGCCAAGTGCATTTAATGACAGTGATCAGCTATGAAGAAGCAAAACAGGCGATACTGTCATAGTTAATGTAATATTAATGAAGGTTCTCTGTTAATTAGTAGATACATGTAGTAAACCCCTAGTATCTCCATTACAACATACTCTGGCCTAAGTGCTCTTTATATGCATGTCCATCATATCATTCAGGATCAAATTTTTACATTACAGGTACAATTGTCTTAGTGAAATGAACAATGGAATGACGAGCTGTCTCCGATCCATTGTTAAAGCCTTTCTACGAATCGTTATATATAACTGAGGAATCAGTGTGATCTACAGATATTGTTAAATTAATGAAGACTTCATTTATACCACCATGTACTAACTGATCCATACTAAATCAAGTAATGGGTGGGCATATGTTGATTTTGAGTAAGATTAAAGGTGGGGATTATCAGTAAAAATGGGCATGGTCTGTCGGGGACATTAAAGTCCTGGGACAATTTGATATGAAGATTGTCTCTTTGTCACCATTCTACTGAACAATGGCTGAAGTAGAATGTGCATTCTGTATCAGGTTTTATTGTAGTTTAATTGTGTGAGGGTTCACATGCAAGGGGGGAAAAAGATTAAATTCCTTTTTTTTCCCCCTTCCCTCAATGATGCAGACTTTGCTAAATGTTGTCTGTTTATAGTGCCTACAGAATGTCTGTTCCTCCTGGTGGTCTTTTCGTTGTCTGTACATCAGAAGAACCATCAAAGTACTGAATTTTAATCCCAAACCGTTCTCCGAGATATTTGCCGCAATTAATTAAGAGGAGATAGTTATAAATGTTTCCCTGTCTTCTGAGATATTTACTACCATTATTTAAGAGAGGACAATTATAAAAAACTTCCCCGATCTATCTGAGATGCTTACTACAATTACTTGAGAGAGCTGAGTTCCTCATTCTTTCTGATACACTGCATGCTTACAAAGTGTGCAGGTTGTTAAAAAACAATTCCGTCTTTGACTCCACAAAAAATAGTATCGTATGATCAGAACCAAGCTAGAGGTTGTCTTTTTGATTAACAGAGGTTCAAAAACCGCTGATTTACATGCAGTAGCTGTCTAAAGTAAGTCGTACACATTGTACATCTCCTCCGCACATAGGCTGTAGTAGCTGAACCCATTAAACAGGAGTTAGTTAATCTCGGCTAGGTTAACACACTACTATGCAGACAGATTTGAATAGAATTATAACATAATATTTCAACTTCAAAGAATCTTATTCCAGTTTTATAGGAGCTAGTGAAAAAATTTAACAGATTTTAGCAAAACCATCAGACTTTAAAGATAATATCATGTATGTTTGAAAAAGCTAAATACTTCTATGCTGTATCGTATTACTGTGTATTAACAATTTACCTCCCTTTGAAAACGTTAAATCTTGATGAAGATGTTAGCGATAAAATCTTTTGAATTGGAAATTTGTAACGATTTGAAGGAATTAGATGTTTTAAGCTGAAGATACATCAGATGGTTTAGAGGAATGTTA